AAAGTTTAGAGGAAAAAAATTATGAGAATTTTAGCATTCATTTATTTGGAATAAAAAGATTGGTATTCTGAGCCACATAACTGAAAGACTGCAGCAACCTGGTATAGCTTCTTGCTGGAATGAGTCGAGTATTAATTTCCATTTTTACAAGAAAAACACACCAGACTAAATTGTAAATTGCTTTATAATACATTTTTATTTGCTATTGATAGACTTTAATAAATAAATTTATACTTATGTATAAATGTGAAATGAGACAAATCTGTTAACTTGCACAGGCACCACAGAGATAGATATCGGTGTGGACGAAGATGGAAATATTTTCCTGGCTTTGCAGAACCCTGAGGCTATGGATGCATCAAAGTTTGTTTGGTCCAAGGATTACCAAGAAATATCAACCCCTGAGAGAGTGCTGATTGAAACAACCGGAGACACGTAAGAATCTGGAACATTCTGGAATTTTAATCTCAGAATGAACAATTAGAAACAAGATAGAACCAGATTGACAACGCAGTAATTACGTTGCTCTCATTATTACCACAGCCTTGACCTCAGATCACTGGGTGGATGGATGGGTGATGAATTATATTTGCTCTATTCTCAATCCAGGATTAGAACATTTTACTAGAAAATGCTAATGACAATTAATCTCAAATTTTGAAAAACTGGAAAGGCAATGTTCAGTGCCAATAGTTTTATTTTCCATTTTGCAATCACCTCCTCCTTTAGTTACCCACTTCCTATGTCCTCCTGTTTACAGCATTTTATTTTCCACATCTTTGTCCATATTTATGTTGAAGTGTGAATATTCTTTTGGCTTAAAATATGTTTAACACAAGAAAAGAAAAAAAGTAATGAGCAAAGAAAAGAAAATTTTACTGGAAAAATGGAAATTAATTTTTGAAATTATTTCCCAGCATTGACTGGATCACCAGACAATGGTCTTTATATTCAGAGAATAAAAAAGTTTGTAAGGAGTGTCTAAGTCCCATTTACTTACCATTCCAGTGAGAAGAAATCCAAAGGGAATACCTGATCTAAATCTTTAGCTAAAAAAGAGAAAATTCTACAACAGATTGTCTTACAGCGATTGTGAGAAATGTGAACTGAAATCTTTTTCCAGATCTAAACTGATCTTGATTGATCCTTCGGAAGAGGATTTGGGTACTTACTCTGTCATCGTAACCGGAACTGATGGTGTTTCATCCAGTCATACTTTAACAGATGAAGGTAAATAGTTATTTCCAATCTTACGAAAAGCAAACTCATTTCTGAAGAAGGGTCCAGACCCGAAACATCAGCTTTCCTGCTCCTCTGATGCTGCCTGGCCTGTTGTGTTCATCCAGTTCCATACCTTGTTAACCTACCTTACTAGTTTGAAGTCTAAGGATGTAAACTTTTTTTTGCAGAGTTGCAGAATCTAAAGAAACTGAGCCATCAAAAAAGAAACCCACGTAAGTTTTTTTTCTGTTGATCCAATGTTTCTCTTCTATTGTTGAAAAATGATGGTAAAATCTCCATATCTGTAATGTGTTGCTGTTTGAGGGTTGCTCATCATCATTTATGCTACAATAGCACTAAGGGGTAAGCTCCAAGAACTAACTCAGCGATCACAGGGGTTGAACCTGCACGATTGATTCCATTAGGTGCCACACTCTAGCCATCCCTCTAACCTCCTCAGCATTAAAGTTCTCAAAATCTAATCTACACTGACTCTCCAATGCAGGACAGAAGGAATGTTGCATTGTTGGAGTTGTTGAATGAGTTGTTAAACTGCTGTCTTGGGTGGACCCCATAAAGGACCCCATGGCACTAACTCAAAGGGGAGGCTGAGAGTCCTCCCCTATGTCTGGAAAAGTGTCTATCCCTCAATCAACATCACAAACTGTCTAACCTCCCCAGCCTGCACAGGTCTCATCTGCCCCAGACTCCATCCCAATGCTCCAAGGGTCTGAAACTCTCTCTCTAGCCACTGGAAATCATCTGGAGAATAATATTTTTGAGTTCCAGCTTAACTAATCTCCTACTTGTTCCCATTGTCTGACTGTCAGCCCCAATCCACAACCAGTGACTCTTCACCCTCTGCCTTCAGGGTACTCCACAGTCACTCAGTGACATCCTTGACCCTAACATCAGGGAGCCAATACACCGGCCTGCAGCTGCAAAAACATTAATCCATTCCCCTAACTATCGAATTTCCGATCACAATGATTCCCCTAGGCTTCTTTATAACCCCTTGTGCAACTGAACATCCCATGGTGTCATGAACTTGCTCTTGGTATAATTCCTGAATGAACGACCCTCTCCTCAGTATTACAAACAGACTATTGTTCAGTGAGTGGGGGGCACTCGGCACGTCCTGTGCCATCTGCCTGATCCTTTTTGACTGCTGGATGGTCAGCCATCCCTCACTCCCTGCAGACTCTTAAGTTGCAGAGTGACATCTATAACCATTCACGTAGCTCTCAGCCTCACAATGCCCTTCAGCAATGTCAACCAGTGCTCACTGTTTTAACACTGGGACCTCAGGCCGCTGATTCCCAACTGGCTATCCAGGACTCAGAAAAAATCCTGGAGTTCCCACGTTGCACAGAATGTGAATCTTGAGATTGGAGCTACCCTGTCCTTACTTCATATATCTGCTGACCTTGATATTTCTAAAAAAAAAATCTTACCAAGCCTGAAAAAGTGCTTTCTCCCATGGCAACGCTTCCACCAATCAGAGTCCACTTGCCAACATATCAACTTTAATACAGTGTGAAAAGTTGCCCCCCTCCTTTACTTTGGCATTTCTTGCAAATTGTCCTGATTAGTGCAAGACAGAAAGGTCTGAGTAAATGTGTCTTTGTTCAGTAATACAACTGAAGTAATGTAACAGAGACTTGCACTTTGCTATTTTAGGGTCAAGAGAAGAAAAATTCATCGATTGCAGGAGATGGATAAACAGTTAGAAGTTGGAACATGCCTTTCCCCATTCACTTCTTCCTCAGGGCCCTCTTTTCCTTCCATTCACCCCTTTAACCCATTCACCTCTTTCTACCAATCACCCCTTTCCCCCAATTCACCTCTTCCACCTCATACACCTCTACCTGCCGTTCACCTCTGTCCCCCGTTCACCTCCTTTCTCCTGTGCACCAAATTCCTAAGTGAACCAATTTCCGCACCCCACTGAGGTCTTACTCAGGTGTTGTCTCCTAAAAATAACAAATAGTGTGGTCCTGTTATTGTTTGATTCTGAGCAACATCACGGGAGCTCTGTTACAAATAGACGTGAAGATGAAAAAGTGATGGACCCACAATGTAATTGGCCTTAGAGTTGATCTATGACAGATGGAGGCATTATTACTGCCAGTAATCAAAGCCACAGTGGAAAAGTCATTGATATGAGATCTAAATGTAAAAGCTGTTAATACAGCTGGCTGGTTTGTGTTGTTTCAGTAATTAAGGTAAATTCGAATTGGGCTGTTGAGCATCTGGAGAAGGGTGCTGTTCGTCTCTGGCTGCAGGTCGAGAGCTTATCACCAGCTGCACAGTTACGATTCATCTTTAATGAGAAGGAAGTTTCAAGCACTCCGGTAAGTTTAGTTTCATAGTTTCAATACACAATATTTCATTTGTAACTTCATTTTCCTGTGACTTTTCATTTTTAGCTCTGATAAATGGTTATATTTTAAGCAAACCCTCACTTTATCTGCAAGACTTTATGTAAATATTTCATTAATTTGATATTTTAATTATTAAAACTGTAATTTTCTTTCTCATTAAGTACTGATTCACATCTCTGCCAATGATTGAAGAATAGTTCCGGGAAATGAAATGGACACTTATGATCTCCAAACTGTCTTTGCAGAGATGTGATCCTAGTGCTAACACTAACAACTTGCGCTGAATGCACCAAAATGTCTTTTCAAATGTAATTTCCAAACCCATTTGAAATAAAACCATCATATTTTGTTTCATGGGGTTTGTTTTTAGAGCTGTGTGAATAACTGCAGAAACTATTAGATCAGCTTTATCTAAGCACCAATGCTCCTTTAACCAGATAACCTCAGCCCTCTGAGACTTGGAGTCAAATGTCTTGTAGTTTTTAAGCTGTATCAATGTAATTTTCTAGACCAATCCAGACCAATAACAGGAAGCTGGAAACAGTGCTCTGTCTTAACTCAAGTTTTGGACTCTCAGCAGGTCTTTCATTTCCAACCTGAGAGCCATTAAAGCTCACTAGATGCTGAACTGGTGAATATGAAATTTCCAGGCAGACAGGGCCCATGGCTTAATCAGCTGCTCCAACTAGTAACTTTTTCTCCCGGCTAGATAGACGGGTTTGGACTCATTGTTCCCTGTGTCCATCTCACTCAAGTCTCACTGGCTTAACTTTGTGACTTGAGTCTCACTCGGTATTCGTTGTCAGGGTCAGTGTTGGTCCCTGGTGAGAAAACATCAGGCAGGACAGTGAGGAATGGCAACTGTGAGCATTGACAATGCAGTATACCCCCATGACTGCAATGTAACCATGTCTACACACTACGCCTGTGCACCATGTTAAATACCAGAGGCTAAATGCTGGTTAGACAGAGTCCAGTCATTTATTTTGCCAGTCTTGGTTCCATATCAGCTCACACAACACAGATTACATCTTCAGCATTTAGAGATATGTTTAATCAACTGTTCAGATGTGATATGACACACTGCTGGAGTAGGTGGATCTTGAAGCTAGGTCTCCTAGTTCAGAGGTAAGGACATTACCACAGTCCCGCAAGAGCACCTCCCCCATTTATACACACCCAGTCAAGTCCATTAATTAACATTACCATCACTTATTCCCATAATCCCTTTAGTCCTAGTCATCCCTGCCAGACCCAACTATATGATAACACCAAAGAGCTGCCTGCAATTGCACATCATCTATTACAATCAACAAAATGGACTGTGTGAATGCTCAGAGTGAATTAATGCAACCCCCAACCGATCTACAAGCTCCCAGCTTGCTTTTAATAGCCACTGGGAGATTGGCAATGAATCCAATAGGCTACTGGTCATTCCAGGAGTGTTGGTACTGCTAGAGCAGATAATAAAAAAGGTGTTTGATTTGAGGTAGAGAGGCAGAGAGGTTTAAAGAGAGAATTCTAGGGTTTAGGAAGCAGGCAGTTGAACACATCTCCAATGATGGTATGATAGAGAATGGTCAAGTGATCAGAACTACAGGAAGGAAGATATTTTGGTGGATCTTAAGGCTGAAGGAATTTATGAAAGCAGAGTGAGGTCATGGAGAGATCTGAAACAAGAATGAGATTTTCAAATTCACATTATTTCTTAACTAGGCACCAATATAAGTCAGTGAGGACAGGTTGATTCCTGAGATTAGCCTTTTTATGTTAGATTATTTCATTAATTGAATTTGAAATTGTAAATTAACATAGAAGAGTTCAATTCCTGCTGTATTTTGGGACCATGAGGGTGACAATATCTGGTGGTTTATTACTGGAGTAGCAACCCTTAAGCCTGGACAAATGATTTGATGACTATTCAAAATCCTACCACAGCTTCTAAGGAATTTAAGTTTAAACACATCTTGAATTTAAAAATTAGCAATAATGACCATGGGTTTGGATTCTCATTAAAAAAAATCATTGATGGATCACTAATTTTCTTACCCAGTCAGGCCTGCATGACCTTTTACTGATCTTTATTTCAGAGAATTGACTCACCACTCCCACACTTCCAGGGTAATTAGCGATGAGCGATGAATACTAATCTAGCCACATCATGTAAATGGATTTTTAAAAGTGTTCATGTGTCAGCTGACCCCAGATGTAAATGGGGAAAATGAACTGATGTTCCTGTAGGTGACTATGATGAGGTTAGCTAAGTGGACCTCATACAGTATGAGTTTCCTGATTGGGGCTGTTAATCTGGTCCAGTTATAAACAGGAGTGTCAGAGGTTCTGTTCATTCTGAGAGCTGACTCTGAGGGAGCGGGATCAGTGTTAAGGACTCTCCACGTATAAATAAAGGGTGACTTGATGACAGCATACTAGTCTCTGGGATTATTTCAGTTCCTTCCTAATCCTGATATCAATCCAGCAACTGCTTCTTCAAGTGTGCAGTGGGTGTAGAGCAGGCACCATATTAGGCTCAGCCTCGATGCTGTTGTATTTTGTGATCAAATAGCTCACCAGCTGGCTCATTTCAACATGAAGAGTCTCCCATTGGGCAAGTGGATGTTGAAACGTGAAACTGTAACCCATTGAGAATTGACATGGTTACAAGACCGAAAGGGATGTAAATTGGCAAAAAAGTGGAAATAATTACAAGCTAAAATACCAAGAGGGATTGAAGGTGTGCTGTAGACAAACAATGTTTACAAGTACAGGCAAATGAACAATAAACCATTGTGGTTTTTGTAGCTGCAAACACATACAATAGAAGACATTTTCAAAAATGATATGAAGTTTTTAATCCAGAGAAAAGGTCTGGAATTGGCAGCTTCATAGACAATAATGATCCTTTCGGCAAATCAAGAGTGCTCTTAGTTCCTAGTTCCAGAATAGGTATGAATTCCTGAACCTAAAAGTAGCCTTGAACAAACATACACCAGCAATCATTAAGTTTTTAGTCAGTTTTGTCCCTCTAAGTTGAATTTTGAAACCAATTGCTTTCACTCATGTTTTGTGTTAATGTCAGCTAATATTGATTTTCTGTAAAAGGGCTGTAATTTTCTGCAGCAGAACATTCACTGTCATCCAATTGGAGAGAGGCTTGGCTGTGTATGTTTAGGTTTTACACTTTTACTCAGCACGTTGCTCTGAGGGTGAGCTGACAATAATATACTGAGGGATAGGGGCCACTGAGATCCTGAATGCAACGAATAAGGAACTGTGTATCTCTTTACCTAATCAGGTTGAGAAATTGTGAAATAAACATGGCTGAGGCTGAGGAACAGTTCATACACTTCACTAACACCTTCCACCCCAACCTTAAGTTTACCTGGACCATCTCTAACACCTCTCTCCCCTTCCTGGACCTCTCTGTCTCCATATCGGGCAACCACCTAGAAACCGATATTCATTTCAAGCCCACCGACTCCCACAGCTACCTAGAATACTCCTCCTCCCACCCACCTTCCTGCAAAAATGCTATCCCCTATTCCCAATTCCTTCGCCTCCGCCGCATCTGCTCCCAGGATGAGGCATTCCACTCCCGTACATCTCAGTTGTCCTCGTTTTTCAAGGACCGTAACTTCCCCTCCTCGGTGGTCGAGAACGCCCTCAACCATGTCTCCCACATCTCCCACACCTCATCCCTCACACCCCGTCCACGCAATAAAAACCAAAAAAGAATCCCCCTCGACCTCACGTACCACCCCACCAACCTTCGGATCCAACGCATCATCCTCCGACACTTCCGCCATCTGCAATCCGACCCCACCACCAAAGACATCTTTCCCTCCCCACCCTTATCTGCTTTCCGGAGGGACAACTCTCTCCGTGACTCCCTTGTCCACTCCACACTCCCCTCCAGCTCCACCACACCCGGCACTTTTCCCTGCAACCGCAGGAAGTGCTACACCTGCCCCCATACCTCCTCCCTCACCCCCATCCCAGGACCCAAGAAGACTTTCCACATCAAGCAGATGTTCACCTGCACATCTGCCAATGTGGTATACTGCATCCGCTGTACCCGGTGTGGCTTCCTCTACATCGGGGAAACCAAGCGAAGACTCAGGGACCGCTTTGCAGAACACCTACGCTCGGTTCGCAACAAACAACTGTACCTCCCAGTCGCGAACCATTTCAACTCCCCCTCCCATTCCTCAGACGACATGTCCATCCTGGGCCTCCTGCAGTGCCACAACGATGCCACCCGAAGTTTGCAGGAACAGCAACTCATATTCCGCTTGGGAACCCTGCAGCCCAATGGTATCAATGTGGATTTCACAAGTTTCAAAATCTCCCCTCCCCCCACCGCATCCCAAAACCAGTCCAGCTAGTCCCTGCCTCCCTAACCTGTTCTTCCTCCCACCTATCCCCTCCTCCCACCTCAAGCCGCACCTCCATCTCCTACCGACCAACCTCATCCCGCCCCCTTGACCTGTCCGTCCTCTCTGGACTGACCTATCCCCTTCCTAACTCCCTACCTACACTCACCTTTCCTGGCTCCATCCCTGCCTCTTCGACCTGTTTGTTTCCTCTCCACCTATCCTCTCCTCTATCCCTCTTCTATCCGCCTCCCACTCTCTCCCTATTTATTTCAAAACCCCCTTCCCCTCCCCCTTTTCTGATGAAGGGTCTAGGCCCGAAACGTCAGCCTCTCTGCTCCTATGATGTTGCTTGGCCTGCTGTGTTCATCCAGCCCTGCACCTTGTTGTCATGGCTGAGGTTGAGTTGTAGGAAGTGTAAATTCACAGTGAACAAAAAAAGATGAAAGAGAGGAAATGAAAGATTGGAATTTGAAAAGGAAATGATAAAAATGGACACTTTTCCACGCAGACTCACAAGATCAATTTTGATAAAGCCAATGGGATTATAGAAATGATCATTCAGAAGTTTTCTGATGAAGATGAAGGCTCCTACACTGCCCAGCTGCAGGATGGAAAAGCCAAGGGTCAGTTCACATTGGTGCTGATTGATGAAAGTAAGTTAATAATTCACTTGAATGTATTCTTGAATTACACTTTCACATCTAGAAAGCTAATGGAGTTACTCAGCCAACAGCAGGTTTATTTAACATGTCATAACACAAACTCAATGAGGCAATCACACATTGGATTGCTTCCCAGATACTGAGTTTGAGAGTGTTTAACTCCCATTTAACTTGGACCTAAGCTTCAAACCTCATGCCCTGTTTCTCAGCAAACTACTTATACCTCCACAAAGTTGCTTCATCCTCTCCAACCACACATTTGCTGTAACTGTCCCCTTTATTTTCATTGTCTCCAGTCTCATCTTCTCAAGTTTTCTACGTGGAATTTTAGATGGTTTGAAGCTATATCTCCCATGTCATGTCCTATTCCCTGTCCATTCACATATCACTCCCATTCTCCATTCTCCCATTCAGCTTTGAACTCAAGATCTGTGTTTTAAAGTTCTCCTGAAGGCCTTGCTCATCCAACTTTTCTAATCTCTTCTAATTCTGTGCCACACCCTGAACTCTTCCAATTCTGGAATGTTATGGATTTTCCTTTCTTTCCCCACCCAGAATGAAATCTGGAACTCTCTCCCTAACAATCACACCTTTCTCCCTTCATTACAAAGTTTCTCAAAATACATGCTCTTTAATTGCGTCAATTTTTTTGCATGGGGCAGATGTTTACCGTATTAAAGGCACTAATTGTGAGTTGTCGTAAAAACAGTGAAAATACAAGCTTTTTAAACTTTATTTTTAACTTGGTGAATACTGGCAAACAGCTGTGTTTTGTGCTGGCACTTTCTTAAAATGGAGCATTTAATTGGTATTTGGAAACTCGAGAGCAAAGTACATAGAGACTAGTCTAACCGATTCTTGTATTTGCCAATTGACAAGTAAGAATAATAAGGTACATCACACGTTAAGTAAATGTGTGTGAGCACCATGACAGTAATGACCCTCAGGGTGACGTTACAACTAGAAAGTGGCAAATGCAAAAACTAAAGCACCAGAATTAGATTGGTGCAAATTTTAGGAACATTGAAACATGAAGGACAGCATTGGACCATTCAGCCTGCCCAGCATGCTACACCATTTAGTACAAACATGACTGATCAAACTGTTCCATGTTCTTTACTCACGCAGTGTCATAACACTTTACACCATTCATAATCAGAAATCCATCAATTTCTAACTTGTGCACATTCAAAGAGTCAGCTTTTACAGATTCGCAACTCTGAGTACAAGCGTTATAGGAAAGAAAGGAGCAATCTAGCTATAGAAAACACAGAAATCTAAAGTGCAAAAGGAGGGAACATGATAGATAGAAACAGACTGACGCCTGATGTTGAGGAATCATGAAGAAAAAAACCATGTCAGCAGCTAACAATGGAAGCCTATTCACACAGAGTTTCATTCATCACTAGGATTAGTGCTTGACACGGAAACCATGTCAAAACATTTAAGTTTGGATTAGATTGGTGGGGAAAAGGAAATGCAATAAATTAATATGAGCTATTTACATATCTGGAGAATTCACACTGACATAGACACAATGGCCTGATTTGGATGTTGTAACTTTATACCTATCTACTACGTACCTGTACAACAAAAAATCAGCTTAATCTTGATGAAATATTGATAGATGGATTTTTAAAAAGGATAAACAGATTCATGAATCGTGTGTCTATAGTCTGTCCTTGGAGAACACTGCAAACTAGTGAAAGTATTAACATACTGAGTAAAACTCAGTTACTGAATAAATATTGTGTGCAGGGCAATTACTATCTTTGAAAGTTAGTCCTAATTTTCAGGAGAGTGTATTCACATCCTTGCGATAAGGAGTCCCACCGAGAGCCATTAAGCTACAATGTCCCACTGGATTTCAATCAGAATGCAATTCCCATCTTCACCCACCAGGAATAAAACTTCAACTATCTGACTGGGAGTTAGGGATTAACTCTGGTAAAAGCATGTACTGGCCGTCAATTAAAAGACACTTAAATAGAACATAAAAACACCTAAAATACATGCTTTTCTGTGTCTGATTTTTTTCAGAGTTCAAAGACATATTGTCACAGTGTGATTTCCAAAGGAATGAATGGGAGAGAAAACAAGGTAACTAAGTGCAAAATGTCACTAACCTTATTTGTGTGGTTACATTGCAGGTGAAGGGCCTTTACACAAGGTCATTGACCCTGGTTCAGTTACTAATTTACAGTTTTATATTGCAGCTTTTCCCTTGCATGACAAGTGTGTTTGGAACTGGCTGCAATGTAGCCAGTTTTGTTTTGCAGAAGAACAGTATAATATCTGCTTTTACTAAATTAAATCAACCGAAGGACGTTTCCTCTCAATGTTTGGTAATGAACCAGAGAGAGTTCACACACTCAGAAGCTTACTCAGCATTTAGATCATTACAGGTGCTACAGCAAATAAAAAATATTCGTTTTGCACATGGAACATAAAAATAAAGTAAAAACCTAGTGACATTGCAATCTTCATGTCCATAGTCTTAAACAGACTTTTAGTTGAACATGGGCATAAATTCATTAAAACTACTTGACAATTCTTTACCTTAATGCACTAATTCCTCTCATCCAGCCACATTTATGTAAGATTTAGTTTGTAGTTGACCACTTTATTATTCTTAATCTGTTCTGTTGGGTGTATGTGGTTAGATTTTCTGTTGCTGAGATTGTCATTATTTTACATTATCACTGATTGCAGCCTTCTAATGACTAAAATAAACAGTGATATTATAATATTGGTTTTCACATGAAGACACATCTCAAGACATTTCATAAACAGCAAAAATAATTTTCTGAAGGTTCTTTTCAACTCAGCAGCAGGAAAATGGCTTTGATACTTCAAACGATGCAGTTCAATGCATTATTTCCAGTCCTTTAAGTATTGTACTTCAGAAACCACGAGCTATAAAACCTTTTTTTTATTAGAATGAAAGACATGAGGAGTTTGATCAGATCGCATGTCTTTCACAGTTTACATATTGTCTAAACCCTCCGGTAATTGACTGTGCATTGACAGCACGCATGTATTGCTCAATAAATCCCCCTGCAGTTCCCATGCCTCAAACAGACAATTGGACCCTCACTTATAAAAGTGGCTGAGCTGTTTGAGGCCCATGTTGCATGATTTGTTTCTCTTCAGGCAACCAGCTCTGGCTAAACACCAAAAACTCAAATCTAGAAATGGACTCATGTAGATTCAATGGTTATTAAAGTCTTAAAGGGGCCACCTGGAAGGCTGTAACTAACAAGGTAAATTTGGAAATATGCCTAACCAGGAGGAGCAGATGTGTCCAATTGGACCACACTATCTATGACGATGGTACCGTAGCCAGCTCATTGTCCCCTGCCCAGATTGTCACTGCTTTATCCCAAAACCCCAGCCACCGCCATGTCACCTTGGCCATTGCTTCCTTTCCAACCAAACTGTGGGTCTGGTGCGATTGAAGGAGCAAATTACTGCAGATGCTGGAATTTGAGCCAAAAACAAAAAATGTCTGGACATCACAGCGGGTCAGGCAGCATCTACGGGGAGACAGCAAGCTAACGTTTCGAGCCTAGGTGACTCTGATGAGACTTGCTCACTCTCCATGGACACGCTGTGATCTCCAGCATTTTTTGTTCCCAGTTCTGGTGCTATTGAACTGTGTTTGCCAATTTGTTTTATTCCCTTTACCCGCAAAACCAAAGACTGTGTTTGTCTGTATGCATGTGCAGGGTTTACGAGGGAGTTATGTTTCTATGCGTTAGACCATATGTTGATAGTTCATAGCTCTTTATTTGTAATGAATCACGCATCTTGTTAAGTACAGAAACTTGGTCATTATTCCCTGTTAACCTGATTCCATCACGCCAGTAAATCAGGAACTCTGCATGTTTTGATTTAAATCATTAAACTTTGTGTCGACCCAGGAGTAATGGAGCTTGAGAATTGATGTATTTTCCCAGGTGGATCATAACAGCCTAAATTTCTAACTAGTTAGATATGGAGGGCATTTAATGACTTAAACTATTTGTTTAAAAAATTCCCAAAATGACAGAGGAATGGATATTAGGGACAGTTGATCCTCAGGCTGTATTTTCAGACAGTATAAGATTCCCACACATTCTGCAAATTAAACTCTTCTCTATAGCTTTCCTATCCGTAGGATGCAGCCTGTCAGATCAAGGAAATGAGCCAGACTGGGATCAGACAGTCTGGGAAAGATCACGAGGGATATGATGGAGGTTTCTGAATGCGGAGAGGATTTCAATTGTGCAGGATATTTGGCTGGTGCACTCTGATGCAGCTGTGGTGGAGTGGGAGTCATCTGTATGGAAGTTGGGAATAATACAGGAGGTTGCTGATGGAGGTCAGAAGTGATACAATGAGGAGGAGGAGTGCACAGGCAGATAGGTCACAGTAATTGGGTGAAGGAAAACTCTCTTTCACAAGTAACATAGAAATGTAGAGGAACAGAGAACATAGGAACATAAAATAGAATATAGAACAGTACAGCACAGTACAGGCCGTTTGGCCCACTATTTTGTGCCAACCTATCATCCTACTAAGATCAATCTACCCTGCATACCATTACATTTACCCATACATTTTACTATCCTCCATGTGCCTATCCAAGAGTCGCTTAAAAGTCTCTGAAGTATCTGACTCCACTACCAGCACCGGCAGTGCATTCCACACACCCACCACTCTCTGTGTGAAGAACCTACCTCTGACATCTCCCCATACCTTCCTCCAATCACCTTAAAATTATGCCCCCTCGTAATAGTCATTTCGACCCTGGGAAAAAGTCTCTGACTAACCATTCTATCTACACCTCTCATCAAGTCACATCCTTCTTTGCTCCAATGAAAAAGTCCTAGCTTCCTCAACCTTTCCTCATAAGACCTGCCCTCCAGTCCAGACAGCATCCTGGTAAATCTCCTCTGCACTCTCTCTGAAGCTTCCACATCCTTCCTGTAATGAGGTGACCAGAACTGAACACAATATTCCAAGTATGGTCTAACCAGAGTTTTATAGGGCTGCAGCATAACCTCGCAGCTCTTAAACTCAATTCCCCTGCCGATGAAAGCCAACACACCGTACGCCTTCTTTACAACCCTAATAACTTGGGTAGCAACTTTGAGGAATCTATGGACGTGGACGCCAAGATCTCTCTGTTCCTCCACACTGCCAAGAATCCTGCTATTACCCCTATATTCTGCATTCAAATTTGACCTTCCAAAATGAAATAAGCAGGCCGTTCAGCCCTTTGGCCCTGTTCCACTGCTCCATATGATCATGGCTGATCATCCAACTCAGTATCCTGTTCCTGCTTTCCACCAATGCCATTTGACGACTTTAGCCCCAGGAACAATATCTATTTCCTCCTCGAAAACGTTCAATGTTTTAGCCTCAAACTCAATTCCACAGACTCACCATTCTCTGGATAAAGAGATTTCTCTTCATCTCAGTCTGAAATTGAGATAGAGGTAAATACATTTTTATTAAGCAAGGAATTAAAAGATTATTAAGGACAGGTGGGAATGTTCATTTGAGATTATAATCAGTTCAACCATGATCTCATTCAATGGAAGAGCAGGCTCGAAGAGCTGAATGGCCTACTCCTGATTTCTTTATTCATGAGGAACACTGTGACACCAATTACTTCAGCTCCTCTTCTTTCCTTTCACCTGTCAGTATCCCAAGGCTGAACAAACTTGGCCAGTTCAAAGGAGAATCACTGTTACACTGAGGATACACGTTAAAAATATTTAAAATACCAACCAGTCAACAGTGAAAGGGACAGGGTTAGGGATAGGGATAAGGAGAGGGTTAAGTTAGAGTTAAGGATAGGGATAGGGAGAGGGTCAGGCTAGGGTTAGGGATAGGGATAGGGTTAGGAATAAGGACAGGATTAAGGTTAGGGTTTGGTTTAGTGTTAGCCACCTTGAAGTAGGGAGATCAGCCCATCTCCATTCAAGTCAGGTTGGGGGTGGTTTAGGGCACCTGTCATATGTTTAGCTTCTTGATCTCACAAATGTACCATATCGCCCCATTTTTTTGGTAAAATCTCACTGCAGATTCTCCCAATTGGCCTCAATATTTTCAGAAGTGTTATAAAGTATGTAGTACGGGACTGATCAAACTAATCAGAGAGCAACTGTGTGTGACAGCTGTAGCAGCAGTGTGAAAGTGTTTCAGAGCACCAAAGTCAAAAATCAGGTGTACATGTATACTGCATATCAACTTTGCTGAAGGCATGTTTTATATTACTACAACATTTTAAAAGCATGGTGGATCATTTTTTTTCCATTGACACATTTTCACACAGCGAAACGTTTACATTTCACTCCGAGGAATTCTTCTAATACCTCACTTTTAATTGTATTTGATGTTCAACCTTATTTAATCAAAATTTCAGGGCCTTATTTTGAGAAGTACTTGCACTGGGAAGTGACTGAAGAATGTAATCTTCTTCTCACTTGTAAGGTATGAAACTGTCTTATAAGAATAAATTGCTCATTTTCATTAATCTGTCATGAAATGTGGATATCACTGGCAAGGACAATATTTGAGGAGGGGGTCAGGGACTCAAGGGAGGTGGTGGCCTCGCGATATTATCACTGAGCTATTAATCCACAGGTCCTGGTAATGTTCTTGGGACCAACCTTTCTTTAAGGAAGAAAATCTCCATCCTTACCTGATCTGGCCTACTTTAGACTCCAGACCCACATTTTTGTGGTTGACTCTTAACTGCCCTCTGGGCAATTAGGGATGGGCAATAAATGCTGGTCTAACCAGTGATGCCCTCATCCTGTGAATTATATTTTTTTGCCCATCTCTAATTACTCTTGAGATCATAGGTGGGAAATAAGCAGTCAGGGGTACATGAGTTTTCAAGAGGACAAGCAGGAAGGAAACAGTGGTGGAGTAGTTTTGTAAGTATGAGATCTAATAAGTGATAGAAAGAAATGTTCTTGGATTGGAAGATGTAGAATCCCTATGAGTGGAGATAAGAGTTAACAAGGGGGAGGATGGCCCTGGTTGGAATGGTCTATAGGGGCCCTAACTGTTTCGATGCTGTAGGACAGAGAATAAATCAGGTGATAATGAGGCCATGTTAAAAAAGGAGTACAGTAAACTTTTGTTTTAACTGGCACCTTATGAACCAACATTGGTAAACTGGCAAAAATCAAATATCTGAAATACCGGAAGCTTATTAAATTATCATGACCGACCACAATGTCTGAATAATCATTTTAATTGTGAGTGAGAAAGCTCTCTGTCGGTAATTTTTTATTTAAGGCAAAGTTGCATTATTATTTAAGTGATTTAAGCTGTAAATAAAGTATAACAGTGATGTGTAATTGAATTTAAATCTCAGCCCCTGCCATGGTGAGATTTGAGCCCCATCCCCAAAACATCAGTTTGAACCTTTGAGTTGCTAGCCTAGTGATATTGTCACTAGACTACCACATTCCCTGCTCTGTTAGCAGCTTCATTTATATCTTAAACCATAAGACCATAAGCTAAAGGAGCAGAATTAGATCATTTGGCCCATCAAGTCTGCTTTGCCATTCAACAATGCTTGATATGTTTCTCAATCCCATTCTCCTGCTTTCTCCATGTAACCTTTGATCCCCTTGATAATCATAATTTATTGTAGCATAACACAAAATTAAAAAGTGAGAAGCACTGGAGCAATGTCTCAATTTTTAATTCATGTTTTACTCTGCTCGTTAAACAGGTGTCGAACACTAAGACCCAGAGCAGCATTGATTGGTTTAAAGATGGGGAAAATCTTTCAGATGTGACATATGATCCTCAGACTGGTCTCAGCTCCCTTTCAATCTCACAGGTAATAAAGTGTTGTCTGGCTGCATTCCTGGGCCTGTCAGATACCTTAAAATTCTCATTGTGCGTTCTCTGTCCAACAGTCCCACTCATGATGTTTCTTTGAAAATTATACAATGGTTTGAGAGTTAATGCTGATTGGTGTTCCAATTTCAAAGTTCTTGTGTCATTTAGAGTCATAGAGTCATACAGCATTAAAAACAGACCCTTTGGCCCAACTCATCAATGCTGACCAGGTATCCCAAACTGAATTAGACCCATTTGCCTGAGCTTGGCCCATATCCCTCTAAACCTTTCCTATCCATGTACCTGTCCAAATGTCTTTTAAATGTTGTAACTGTACTCGCCTCTACCACTTCCTCTGATTTCATATACCTTCCACGTACACATCACCCTCGGTGTGAAAAACGTTACTTCTTATTTCCCTTTTAAATCTTTCCCCTCTCACCTCAAACCTATATCCTCTTGTTTTGGACTCCCCCACCTGGGGAAAAGACCTTGGCTGCTCACCGTATCTATGCTTCTCATGATTTTATAAACCTCTATAATGTTACCTTTCAGCCTCCTATGCACCAGGGAAAATAGTTCCAGCTTGTGCAGCCCCTCCCTATACCTCAAACCCTCCAGTTTCAGTAGTATCCTTGTAAATCTTTCTCACACTGTTCCTAGTTTAATAACATCCTTCGTACAGCAGGGCAACCAGAATTGTACACAGTGCTCCAAATATGGCCTCACCAATGTCTTGTACAGCCGTAACATGATGTCCCAACTCAATGTTCAGATTGATTGAAGGCAAGCATGCCAAATGCCTTCTTCACCACCCTGTCTACCTGCGATGCCTCTTTCAAGGAACTATGTACCTGCACCTGGAGACAGAAAGGACTGCAGATGTTGGAAGCTAGAGTCAATAAATGTGAAGCTGGAAAAGCACAGCCGATCAGACAGCATCCGAGGAGCAGGAAAGCCCATGTTAGGACTGGTACAGGAGCCCAGAAATAAATACTGGGAGGGGAAGGGTGGCTGGGGGGAGGGTAGGTGAGATGGAGATAGGTAGATCCAGGTAGAGGATTATTGTGGTTGGTCAGTGGGAAGGGTGGAGCGGAGAGGTGAGTGAGAAGATGGACAGGTTGGGGAGGAGAGATTTTGAAGCTGGTGAAGTCAATATTCAGGCCACTGGGCTGTGAGCTCCCAAGGCGAAATATGAGATGCTGTTCCTCCAGTTTACATTTGGCCTCACTCTGATGCTCTGCAAAACAATCCCCGAGTCTGCGTTTGCACCAAAGCAACCTTCTGGTTACCATCCACTTTAACTCCCCCTCCCACTTCCCTGATGACATGTCCATCCTTGGCCTCCTTCACTATCCGAGTGAGGCCAAATGTAAACTGGAGGAACAACATCTCCTACTTCGCCTTGGGAGCTTACAACCCTATGGTCTGAATATTGAACTTCACCAGCTTCAAAATCTCTCCTCTCCCAACCTGTCTATCTTCTAACTCACCTGTCCACCCCACCCTTCCCCCGACCAACCACAATAAACCCCTACCTGCATCTACCTATCTCCAGCTCACCTACCCTCCCCACAACCCCAATCCCAATCCCTCCTCAGTCCTGATGAAGGGTTTTTGGCCCAAAATATTGACTTTTCTGCTCCTCGGATGCTGTCTGACAGGATTTGCTTTTCTAGCTCCATATTTATTGACTATGTATCTGCACCCCTAGGTCTCTCTGTTTGACAACACTCCACAGAGCTCTACAATTAACTGTATAAGTCCTGCCCTGGTTTGCCTTACCAAAATGCAACACCTCATATTTATCTAAATTTAGCTCCATCTACCATTCCTTGGCTCTTTGGCCCGGTTGATCAAGATCCCATTGTACTCTGTGATAAATTTCATCACTGTCCACTACACCATTAATTTTGGTGTCATCTGCAATCTTACTGACCATACCTCCTATATTCTCATCCAAATCATTTATATCAAAGAAGGACAACAATGGATAGTTTCTTAGTTTAGGTATCAATGTACAACTGCTTGCATTAGTCCGAGTAATTAATGTTTAATTTTTGGTTATGAAACTATTTAATGAACTGATAACCAGAGAAAGTAGGAACAATTATAAAAAGCACTTGTTTCCTTTTGCGGATTAGTTCTATGTGCAAACATTGAAAACTATTTTTATAAGTTTGCAAAGAATTTATTCAAAATATTCCCATTCTTTAGTGGTGTTACTGAGGAACAGAAGGTGCTTTACCAGAAAAAATGCAGAAAATGTTGGAAATATGCAACAGCTCAGGAGCATCTGTGGAGTGAGTTAATATTTTAGGTCAATGACCTTTCATAGGATTCCCCTGAAAGGTCATTATTATCAACCTGAAACATTAACTCTCTCTCTGCCTCCACAAACCCTGACTGACCTGCTGATCATTTCCAGCCTTTGTGTTTTGATTTCAGGTTTCCAACATTCGCAGTACTTTGTTTTGTTGAGATGCCTTACAGGGTGTTCTGCACCTGATCAGGCCATTCTGGAGAGCTACCTTTTGCTGGACCTTCCCATCTGTCTCATGCAAATAGGAGGGTTTTCCACCCCCTAGAAAGTTCCCTTCTCCCCATCCCAATTACCAACCTTCAGGATACTACTTGAAAGCTGATGGTAGGTCCACAGAGTCCCAGTCATTGCTGGTTGGAGTGTCCACAGAGACTGAGGGTCTTCTGGCAGCTTCCTCGCATATTGAACTACCTCTTCTACCTCTTAATGGCTTCTCGCTACTTCTTCCAGTGCTACATGCGCTTTGATGTGCTGATGTCCTACATCAGCACCACCTGGACTTTCCACTATTGCGCATAGTAATCTGACCAGTAATGACCAAATTTAGAATGAGCCCCACCCAGGGATTGAGCTGAGGTTAGGGCAGATCCAGAGCAGTGGGCAGGAATCCCACAGGAATCCCACTCTGAAGAGGACAATCTCAGTGCACAGATCCCATTGTGTTTTCATTTGTATTTCACAGAATCACTTTTCTTCCAGGTCACTAGGAAGGATGAAGGTGTTTATAAAGCAGTGGTGGCAGATGAAAGGGGACGAGATTCTAGTGTTCTTGAGTTGCTCAATCAAGGTATGAATGTTTTGTTTTAATTAAAACTCTGAATTATTTAGAGACAAAGTACCTTCAAGGTTAATTAGGAATGGGCATCAAGTGACACCCATAATCTGTGAAGAAAAAGGAAAGAAAGTGACTCATCATCACATTGTGGTTCAGTATTGAAGGATTGCAGCCAATTGAGGAAATGCAATACTTCCTGCATTGGCTGCATTCCCCAGTGTCAACCAGATGATCTACAATGAGCACTTGTCTATTGATGTGATGCTGAGTAGCATCCATTTGTTTAATGAAAGTGTCTATGGGAAAGTGCTTCATTTCCTATGGGTGCTAGTCACCATAGTAACAGCAGAGTCACACAGCACTACAGACATCAAAGGCCTGACAGTCAGTGTAACAATGTGACAGCTACACAACAACAACAACTTAGATTTACATAATGCCTACACAACAACAACAACTTAGATTTACATAATACCTTTAATAGATAAAAATTCCCCAAACAAATTCTCAAGAGCACTCACAGACAAAACTTGCCATCAGGACACATGAAGTATTCAGAAAGTTGGTCAGACCCTCAGTTAAAGATGTTTAAGAAGAATTTTGAAAAAGGTGGAGAATTGGGAAGTGAGATTGCTCCTCGGAAACCGGATGAAAGTCAAATTGAATTTATAATTGTCTATTGATTCCCCAAATACTTATTGTGAGAGGTTTCGAGTACAGGAACAGGGATGTGTTGTTGCAGTCATACAGGGCCTTGGTGAGACACACCTGGAATATTGTGTGCAGTTTTGGTCTCGTTTCCTGAGGAAGGATGCTCTTGCTCTCAAGGGAGTGCAGCAAAGGTTTACCAGGCTGATTCCGGGGATGGCGGGTCTGACGTATGAGGAGAGATTGACTAGGTTGGGATTATTTTCGCTGGATTTCAGATGAATGAGGGGGTGTTTCATAGAGATTTATAAAATCCTAACAGGACTGGACAGGATAGATGCAGGGAGGATGTTCCCGATGGTGGGTGTGTCCAGAACCAGGGGTCACAGTCTGAGGATTGGGGGTAGACATTTAGGGCGGAGATGAGGAGACATTTCTTCACCCAAAGAGTGGTGAGCCTGTGGGATTCATTACCACAAGAAGTAGTTGATGCCAAAACATTGAATGCATTCAAGAGGCGACTAGATATAGCACTTGGGGGCAAATGGGATCAAAGGTTATGGGGAGAAAGCAGGATTAGGTATTGAGTTGGACGATCAGCCATGATCGTGAAGAATGGCAGAGCAGGCTCGAAGGGCCGAATGGCCTCCTCCTGCTCCTATCTTCTATGTTTCTATGTTTTATGTTTTAACCAGTGCGGAGAACAGCAATGATCATCAAACCTAATTCTCCAGGGTAATTTATATGCAAGCATGCAATACACATGCGGTAATGTTTGAAATGCTCAAAGGAATGTTTTTATTCATTCACGGGATGTGGGCACTAGGGCCAACACCAGCATTTATTGCCTACTTCTAATTCCCTTTAACAAAGTGATAGTGAGCCATGTTTTTGAACTTGTGCAGTCGTTAGGGAGGCAGTTCCAGGATTTTGACCCAGCATCAGTGAATGAACAGTGATATACTGTGGTTCCAAATCAGGATCCTGTGACTTGGAAAGGAACTTACAGTTAGTGATAGTCCCATGTTTCATGCTGCCCTTGTCCTTCTGTCTTGTAAAGTTCCTTGGTTTGTAGTCCATACAAGTTGGTCCTGTTGAAGGACTCATGCAAGTTGCTACAATATTACTTGAAGATGTCTACTAATGCAGAAAGATTTGTATCAGATAGTAAAGTGTATTGGTTTCAATGAGTACTTCAAGACAGCTCTGAGTTCTGTAGGATGACTAAGTTAATCTGTTAATTAGAGCAACGTATTCAACCATAAATGGAATTTCACATAGTGGAGAATTATTGCTGGGCAAATTTCTGTTACATTTGCACAATAAACAGTATGGAGTATTAGACAGAAAAATGTTTTGTAAAAATTCTTGAATATCTAATACATTCCAATTCACAACTATTGAATCATTTCTCATTACTTATCAGTCAACCTCAATAACTGACCATTCAGAACTACCCCATAACTAGTAATGTATGGTTCTACAGAATGGTATCTGGTTAGCTCTGATGGTTACCATGGTTGTGGTTTCAATCCTCATACTGGCTAACATTGCTGATTTTCACAATGGCTCTTATTTCTTGGGGGGGAGGGGGTCTTGTGACCCAGTGGTAATATCCCTACCTGTGAGCTAGGAGACCCAGATTCAAGTCCTACCTGCTCCAGATGTGTGCGATAAAATCTCTGAACAGGTTGATTACAAAATGTTGACAATGGGATAACTGATACTGCTCATCCTATACTGCAGGAAGATCACCTACTGTTAGGTCAGCACAGAGTATTTGGTTTGACTGACTTAATGTAGTGTGACAGAGTTTGTTGTATATGACCCAGATCTGTAATGTTGCATGGGTGGGGAGGGTGGTAGAGGTTCTTCCACTGATGATGAAGCGAAGAGAAAGTGATAAGATTGCAAAAGTAGAGCGAGGCATATTTATTATCAAAGATTTGAATTTTGAGGTTGATGTAGAGATAATGAAGATGAACAAGACAGGGGTGGAATTGGTTATGGGAACCTGCCATTTCAACTGTTTTCAAGAAGGTGGTTGGATGGACAATAAATGCTTGCCTTGACCGTAGTACTTCCACTGTTTCAATTAACTAAAATAAATGAAAAAGATGGAATGTCAGTAATGGGGTTCTGGATGGCATGGAGTTTTTAGAGGGTGGGCTTTAAGTCAGAAAGAAAGACAAGCCAAGACGATGATCTCAACTCCTTTGGTGACCAGGTGGAATGGAGAAGATCAATATTTGTAAGCTGAGGTATGGCAGTTCTTGATGATGAACTAGCTGTGTAGTTCAGCTTGATGTTAAACAGGATACCAAATTTGTGCCCTACAGTCCTAACCAGGCATCCAGGAAGGGTATGGAACCAAGATGTGAATGTGCTGGACTGGATAGTTTCAATCTTGTTACTATCAAGTTCCAAGAAGTTCTTTTTCAACCACAAGATGTTGTTAGGGAGTTGGGGAGGACAGCAATAGTTATGGACTCAAGAGTGGTGATGCATACATAAAACAGTGTATCCTTGGCTTACAAACACAATGTGACTTCATGCCCACCAAGAATTTGACCCAAGGTTGAATAAATAATGAGGAGGAAGAACCTTGCATGCACTGAAGTTCAGAAAGGGAGGAGAGCCCAGTGCCAGAAATAGGCTTTCTGCACTCATAGGAGGTAGGTCAAGGCAGTGAACATGAAGGAAAACAATGGAAGCGGCTGGTCCTATAGAAACCTCCTGAAGGGTTAGCACAATGTTCTCAAACAGAATGTTGTTGCTCACGTTGTTCAGGGCTGTTGGAGTGAGTTGGAAGACAGACTTCTTTTTAATTGCTAAGCCAGTATTCATTACCCATCCCTAATTGCCCAGAGGGCAGTTAAGAGTCAACCACATTGCCGAGGATCTGGAGTCACTTGTAGGCCAGACTCGGTAAGGATAGCAGTTTCCTTCCCTAAAGGACATTAGTGAAGCGGATGTTTATTTTCTGACATTAGTCATTAATTCATGGTCATCATTAGACTCTTAATTCCAGATTTTTATTGAATTCAAATTCTACCCTCTGCTGTGGTGGGATTTGAATCCAGGCCCTCAAAACATTACCTGGGTCTCCAGATTAATAGTCTCACAATAAAACCATCACCTAAATAGGAGAGGGGGGATTGGAGAGGAGGAAACAAGTTGGTTGGCTGCACTATATTCTAGAGCTTCAAAAATGAAGGCAAGTTTGGAGCGAGATTAGCTGTAACTGAGAGGAGACTGTCTAGAGGGAAATTGTCACAACTTTGAAAGGCCTCAAGAAGACTCCTTGAAGCCTGGGAGCAGTTAAACAAACACATTGAGATTTCTGAAACGTTTCTGATTATTACAAAACCGTATTTGATTTTTTAAAAGAACTCAACATTACTACCTGTATAACCATAATGCTAAAATATAATGGGGTTTGCTATATTCTAATCTGCTGTAAATCAGGAGACATTTCTTTGTTTTGATGATGTGTTTGCTTTACTGCAGCATTTGATGACATTCTCAAGGAAATCTGCAGAATTGGTGGTAAGTGACTCGATTTGGTGACAAATTTACAATTTAATTCCTGAATAAGTTACCATTGTACACAAATTTTGAAAATTAACTTGACTTTCAAAAGTAAGTATTTTCATTTCCAATGAAGGTCTTTGGACACAATGTTCCCTCTGTTCCTCTTTGTTTTTATTATGTTATTTTGCCTCGACCACATGTTGTTTACAGAGTTAAATATTATAGGGTGGAAGGTTTGAAGGCGTTCTCCAATATTTCATCATAACCTTGGCAGACAATTGGTGAAAATATCTGAAAAAAGCACAAAAAGTAATTGAATAAAATTAAACAAGGAACTGGGGATGTAGACGATTTGAAACAAGGACAAAAATTGCTGCAGAAGCTCAGCAGGTCTGGCAGTATCACTGGCTAAAAAATAGAGATGTTGTTGTGAGTCCAGTGACTCTTTTTCAGAACAAAACGTCATTTCAATGATTTCTGTAGCGTTTCACCAATCCCCGAATGAAGCTACAGTGTGAGACCTCCCTCAGAAATTCAAGGTGTAAAGTTATCCATTACATATGTCACTTTTCTGGTGCACTACAAGTTAGTAAGGGGTTAATTTTCTAAAGTGTTTTGTGCACTGCTCAATTCTAGCAATGATACTTCTGTTGATCTGGTTGTTTAGAAGTATTCACTGCACAAACATGCATATAAACGTACAGGGAGAATCCTGTCAAAGAATTATTGGATGAATTAAAGACTATTAATCTGAATTGCAGTTTAATCTGCTTGAAATTGATTGATCATTAGTTTTGGCCATAAAATGAAGTAAAAGCAAAATTCTATATGAAGGACATTAAACGGACCAGTCTATTGACAAAATGTCCTTCCCCACCTTGGGGCGCCTCCAGTGATTAGTTTCTCCTGTAATTGAAATGAATTTGAAGAGAACTGACTGATCTTACCTCATATGTTTCATTAGGGTTCTTGTGTCAGAAGGGCAATGTCCCTACTCCTAAACTAGGAAGCCTAGGTTCAAGCCCTACCTTACTCCAGAGCTGGGCAACAACTTCTCTGAACATGTTGATTGAAATATCTACTCCAGAGGTTTCTCGTCAGCACATATTTCTTGTCAAGCCTAGTTCAGTTCTTTCTTGATATGGAATAATGTTCAGGAGTAGGTTTCTTCATCTCCTGAGCCCGGAAACACTGAGGTTGATTGTAACAATTCGACAGATGGTGCAACCGGGAAGGTAAATGGAATGTTGGTCTTTATTTAAAAGGGAATGGAGTATAAAAGTAGGGAAGTCTTGCTAAAATGATGCAAAGTACTTGTCAGACCACAGCTGGAATACTGTGATCAGTTTTGGGCCCCTTATCTAAGGAATGATATACTGGCATTGGAGGCCAGAGAAGGTTCACCAGGCTGATAACAGTCACGGAGGTGCTGTCTTATGAGGACAGGTTAAATAGGTTGGACCTGTACTCATTGGAGTTTAGAAGAGTGAGGTGAACTTTTTGAAGCATGCAAGGCTTTCATGGGACTTAACAGTGAGTTGGGGAAAGGTTGTTTTCCCTTGCAGGAGAGTCTAGGACCATAGGGGTATTATCTCAGAATAAAGGATCGCACATTTAAGATAGAGATAGGGATGATTTTTTTCTCTCTCAGAGAGCGTTGGATCTATGGAATTCTTCACTGCAGAGGGCTGTCAAGACTGGGTCATTAACTATAAACAAAGGTGAGATATACAGGTGATCAATCAGGGGTTATGGGGAAGAGGCAGGAAAGTGGAGTTGAAACTATCAAAACAGTATTTTTTTTTCATCCCTAACTGTCCTTGAACTGCGTGACTTGCTGTGCTGTTTCAGAAGGCAATTCAGTATGAACTGCTCTGGGTCCGGAGTCACATGTAGGCTGGTCCTGGTAACACCTGCAAATTTATTATATTAGTGAATGAGATGGCCTTTAGAACAACAAGGTGGTCTTATGGTCACCATCTCCTGAGACTAGCATTCAATTCAAGATTGATATCCAATTGATAAATGCCAACAGTTGTTATGGTGGGATTTGAATCCATGTTCCCAGGCTATTAGCATGGGCCACCAGTCTAGTTATGTAATTACTACACCACCTCTTTCCATCGTTCTCAAGAGAAGGACTAACCTGTTTGACCTTGCCTGATAAGTGTAGCCTTTTGTTTTAGTATAATCCTTATACATAATTTTTCAGAGCTTCTATACCCTTTGTCCTTTTATAATATGAAGGCCAGAACTGTTCACAGTACACTCTGTGCTTGAACTAAGGTTGGATACAAAGTGAACATAACTTCTCTGCTATTTCACTAGAAAAACATTCTCAGAGTGTGGAAGACCGAGTTCTCGTTAGTTCAGTGATTTCTAATTGATTGCAGACTAAGGAAACTTGACCAGAGTATGGCCTGGAGAAGCTAAGTATCACTGACAGGAACTTTTACATTTCCACATTTAACTGCACATATTCAGATTCAGTTTCACAAGATAAATGTCTATGGGCACTGTTCATTTCCTCATTATTGTTACCGAAAAACCTAGGCGTATGGAAACCTTATAAGGAGCTAAAGAAATGTAATTTTATTATTGTTGGGTATCTCTAACCTATTTGTAACAACATCCTCCAGCACGCTGATTTATTTTTAGAGCAAGTTCACATTAAGATTTTTGTTAATACCCAGTGTTCCTCATTGAAGTGAGCTAAAATTAATCAACTTAATTACACTTTCTCCTATCCACAGGCGCTTCAGCTTCAGAACTGAAAGTACAGGGCACGGCTGATGGAATAAAGCTATATTCCTTAACAAAGTGTAACATGGAATATATGAAAAAGACCTGGTATTTAAAGTAAGTGAAATGTCTTAAATAGATTTCAGAAAGTATTAAATTTTCTTTTAATTCATTCATGGGATGAGGGCATCACTGGCTAGGCAGCATTTATTGACCATCCCTAATTGCCCAGAGGGCAGTTCAGAGTCAACCACATTGCTGTGGGTCTGGAGTCACATGTAGGCCAGACCAGGTAAGGATGGCAGTTTCCTTCCCTAAAGGGCATTAGTGAACCAGATGGGTTTTTCCAACAATCAGCAATGGATTCATAGTCAACATTAGACTCTTAACTCCAGATATTTATTGAAATCAAATTCCACCATCTGCCGTGGCAGGATTTAAACCCAGGTCCCCAGAACATTATCTGGGTCTCTGGATTAACAGTCCACCAATAATACCACTCAGCCATCACCTCCCCAGTAAAAAATTTAAAAGTAAAACTTCTGACATTTGGCAAATTGGCTGCAGTTCTTTGATAGTGATCACAAATGAAGTGTGTGAAATATTCAAGGGATTCAGCAGAATACTTGATACGATTCTCTTCATTTTTGCGACATGTGAAGGTACCTGTACAGGATGAGGCAGCCAATACAAATATCAGCTGCTGATCCCTTGGTACAATCACCTGCTCCTGGCTTATGAAACTCCCATACAGTAAAATATGGCCCAAAACAGCCTTGGTGCGGTGAAGCTGACACTCCAGATTTGTTTACGGTGATGGAATTCTTTCATAGCAGCTAAAAGCCACATATGATTTTCAGCAACAAATGCCTGGAGTCTCAAGAAAGAAGGAGAATGGGATTTGATGATGAACACATTTGGCTGCAGATCTACAATCCTACTGAAGCAGACAAAGGGAAGTATACCCTGGATCTGTTTGATGGTAAAGAGACACATAAACGAGTCCTTAATTTATCAGAACAAGGTATGAAACTATTATTTTATGTACATTCCTTCATTTCTTTTAAACGTTGGAGATGCAGTATACCATTATTGTTCAGGGCTTAAGTCCTGATATCTGATTTGTTGGATTTTCTTTCAGTATTTAATGAAGCAATAACAGAACATCAACGACTAAAGTAAGTTTCCCTTTCATCAATTTCTCTCATCTTTTTACATTTCAATGTAATCCCTCATTTAATTGTGGTAGTAACATATAGAAATATAGAAGATAGGAGTAGAACATAAAAGAATAGACTATTCAATCCCTCTAAGCTGCTCCACCATTCAATATGATCATGGCTGATCATCGAGCTCAATACCCTAATCTCACCCTCTTCCCATATTCCTTGATCTCTTTAACCACAAGAGTTACATCTGCCTCCTTCTGAATGTTTTGGCCTCAGCCACTTTCTGTGGCAGTGAATTCCTCAGGATCTCCACTCTCTAGGTGAAAAAATTTCTCCTCATCTCAACCCTAAAAGGTCCTTATCCTTAAACTATGATGCATGGTTCTGGATTCCACCATTGGGAACATCCTTCCTGTACCTAACCCGCCTGGTCCTGTTAGAATTTGATACATTTCTTTGAGATCTCCCCTCATCCTTTGAAACTCCAGCAAATACAATCCTAACCAACTCAATCTCTTCTCAAACATCAGTTCTACTTTGCCAGGAATCAATCTAGTAAACATTTGCTGTGCTCCCTCTATAGCAAAAAACACCCTCCCTCAGATAAGGAGACCAAAATTGCACACAATATTCCAGATGTGGCCTTACCAAGCCCCTGTATAATTGCAGTAAGACATCCCTGCTTCTGTACTCAAATCCTCTTGTTATGAAAGCCAACATACCATTTGCCTTCTTTGCTGCCTGCTGCACCTGCATGCTTACCTTCAGCAACTGGTGATTGAGGACACCCAGGTCTTGTTGAACCTTCCTCTCTCTCAATTTACAGCTAATCAAATAATTATCTGCCTTTCCATTTTGCTACCAAAATAGATAACCTCGCATCTATCCACATCATCCTATATCTGCGATGCATTTGCCCACTCACTCAGCCTGTCTAAATCACATGCAACATCTTGGCATCCACCTCATAGCTCACCCTTCCACCCAGCTTTGTGTCACCTGCAAAGTTGGAGATATTACATTTAGTTCCCTCACCTAAATCATTAATATATATTGTGAATAACTGGGGTCCAAGTACTGATCCTTGTGGTACCCCACTAGTCACTACCAGCCATTCAGAAGAAGAGGAGGGCAGGTCTTACGAGGAAAGGCTGAGGGAGCTAGGGCTTTTCTCATCGGAGCGAAGAAGGATGAGAGGTGACTTGATAGATGTGTACAAGATGATGAGAGGTGTAGATAGAGTGGTTAGTCAGAGACTTTTTCCCAGGGTGGAAATGACTATTACGAGGGGGCATAATTTTAAGGTGATTGGAGGAAGGTATAGGGGAGATGTCAGAGGTAGGTTCTTCACATAGAGTGGTGGGTGTGTGGAATGCACTGTCGGCAGTGGTAGTGAAGTCAGATACTTTAGAGACTTTTAAGCGACTGTTGGATAGGCCCATGGAGGATAGTAAAATGTAGGGTAGCTTGACCTTAGTAGGATAATAGGTCGGCACAACATCGTGGGCCGAAGGGCCTGTACTTTGCTGTACTGTCCTATGTTCTATATTCTATGTTCTATGTTCTAAGATCCATTTATTAATACCCCTCCTCATGTCTGTCTTCTATCCATTTCAATACATTGCCCCCAGTCCCATGTGCTTTAATTTTACACTAAATCTCTTATGTGGGACTTTGTTGAAAGTTTTCTGAAAGTCCAAATAAACCATTCACTGGGTCCCCATCATCAACTCTACTAATTAAATTCTCAAAAAATTCCAGTGGATTTGTAAAGCATGATTCCCCTTTTGTAAATCCATGCTGACCGTGTCGATTCTATCACAGTTTTCTCACTGCTGTGCTATAAAATCCTTGATAATGGATTCTAATATCTTCCCTAAACTGACATCAGGCTCACTGGTCTTTAATTCTTTTTATTTCTTTCAAGCTCTCTATACATCTCCATATATTCCAGTCCTCTTAAAACTGCATTAATCTGAGACACAATAAAATTCAGATCCTATTCAATAGATGATGCAAGTCTACCCTATGTCTTTATAAAGTCTTTCTTTTTGAAATACAAATATATTTAAGCTCTAATTGACCAATTTGTGTTTTAATATTTGGGACCCAACTCACTTGGACATAATGAATACAATGCTTGTAACTTCACATCCATTAGTCACAACGCAAACACTGAACCTCCTGGATCCACAATAATTTTTAAAAAGAACAATAAAATATGTCTTCCTGCTGATGGGCTCTGAAAGTTCTTTTAAGGTTTCGTTGCTAAGACCCTGAGAATACTGACTACAGCGTGAATAACCAATATTGCAGCTAGTCAAGAACAACTTCTATAAATGGGACCTCAAACTGGCTTTGGACCTATCTTTCCCTATTTATCCGGTCCCAATTAGGTGGATATTTGTTCAAGAGCTTTTATCAACATAGAATCATAGAATCCCTACAGTGTGGAAATAGGCCCTTTGGCCCAACAAGTCCACACCGACCCTTGGAGCATCCCACCCAGACTCATCCCCCTATAACCCACCTAATCTACACAACCTTGAACGCTACAGGCAATCTAGCATGGCCAATCCACCTAGCTTACGCATCTTTGGACAGTGGGAGGAAACCGGAGCACCTGGAGCAAACCCACACAGACACGAGGAGAACATGCAAACTCCACACAGTCACCTGAGGGTGGAATCGAAGCCAGGTTCTTTACTCAGAGAGAAGTAACGGCGTGGAATGCCCTGCCTGCAAAAATAGTAGACTCGCCAACTTTAAGGGCATTTAAATGGTCATTGGATAAACATATGGATGATAATGAAGTAGTTTAGGTTAGATGGGCTTCAGATTGGTTTCACAGGTCGGCGCAACATCGAGGGCCGAAGGGCCTGTACTGCGCCATAATGTTCTATGTTCTATGTTCTATGTTCTAAAGCCTTATAAGTATCTCTTTTTTAAAAAAAGCTTACATTTATATGGCACTTCTCACAACTTCAAATGTACTGCAGTAAGTTATACCCGATGAAGAAATGAAGGGTAGCCACCATACTGGGAGGAAAAAAAGTAACTATTCTGAGCACAGAAAGCTCAACGAAAGTAGCATGTGGTCAAGACCCTACATCAGTTGGAGATATTGGACTGGAGCGGGGTGGAGGGGTAAATATTAACCAGGACATTGAAAGGAACTCTTCTGCTCTTTCAAGATGGTAGCTGTTGCATGTTATTTTACATTCGAATGAGAGAATAAACAAGGCCTTGGTTTAACATTGCATTCAACAAAATATGGAGCACTCTCTCAGGGGGAGTTAAGATGCATTTTGTGTTCACCTCACTGGAGAAGGACTCAAACTCACAACTTTCCAGCCAAGAGCTGAGACTAGGCCACAGCTGAACCTTCAGTAGTAGCCAATTGTTTGCATTTACTGATAATTTCTTTTGTACTTGTCTAACCAGTTATGTGCTTCCAACAACAAATTATTCAGTGTTTCCTGATTTTGATATATCTATTTTTCAGGCAGGCAGCATTTGCAGAAAAACGTAAGTAAATTCAATCAAATACAACTCACTCAAATAAGGAACAGCTTTCAAATCATTTTCTATCACTGGGATAAAGAAGTTTCAAAATTAAAGAGAGAAAATTTCCATATCTCAACTAATTCCAATTACATACTTCTAACTATCTAACTGTTTTCTTTAAAGCTTCTTTCTCCCATTGAATATTGTCTCCCTTCAGAGTGAGAGGTTTTAATAAGCATGAGGAAAATTTAAAGACATGAGCTGGAGGTGGAGAGGTAAAAGGTGACATGATAGCTGCAAACACTGAGTCTAATTATTCCCTCCTAACATCCCTAGACAGCTCCACTATTGACAAGCGTCAGTAGAGAAACTAAATGATGAAATTTGAATAATAACATGATGCTGCAAGTTTTAAAATCTCAAAATTTGTAAATACAGTTTCAGGAGCAGGGGTGCTGAGGAATTCATGACTTGGAGGACCTGAGAAAGAATGTTTGAGTGGGAGATATTTAAATAAGTTTTGAGTTCAACAAGGAACTGTATCAATATTGGCGGAGCTGCAGTTTCAGAGGAACAACAAAACAATTGTTTCCCTCTTAAGGAGAAGAGAAATGCACTGCTCAGATGAATGACAGCTGTTGCTTCTGGTCATAAGATGCATAACGGCAAGGTGACCAAGTGTCCTTTATTTTAGCTTTCCCTTATTTTCACTCTTTGTCTAATGTCCTTAAAAAAACACATTTTCATGACTTATTTGTCAAACTGCTGTGGTAGTCTGAGTCTGAGAATCACCAGACAACCCCCCTCATCCATCTCACAAGGGCAAAGTGCTCTTTATTTTATTTCTGACAAGTTGGTCACCCTGCCCCAAAGAACATTTTAATTTTTGGACTGAAAGCACATCCACCTCCAAGAGTTGCAGTGAAAGGCTGACTCCTTCTAAACTGTCCACCTGCTCAGCAATGAGCAAGCAGAGGCTTTGGGTCTTCAATAATCGGGGGACTCAGAACCTATCAGCTAAGTGTTTTGGTGATTACAAAGGGTTTTGTCAGTGAGAAGGTCCAAACTTTATTTGAGCAATGCAGGAATAAACTCTGTACCTTTTGAGAGGGAATAAGACAACACCAGGTTATAGTCCAACAGGTTTATTTGAAAACACAAGCTTATGGAGCCTCGCTCCTTCTTCAGGTGTTAATGAGAGAGGTAGTATCCGACACAGAATTTATAAATAAAAGATCAAAGGGTCACACCACTGATGAGGATGTACTAAACAAACCTAAGATGCTGTTAAATCTTCAATCAGTTAGATGATTTTAATTGATTTATATGTATTTGTAAATCCCCAAATTCCTTTCAAGTCACTGTCCTGAGAAAACTAAAGGTTTTATCAGTGTAAATAAGAGGTGACATTTTATGTCAGACAGTGCATGTTAGGTGAGAGGCCTTGTTTAGAATCTGTTTGTGTTTTGGTTTGGAGTCAGACTGGTTTTATTTCTAAAGTAGGAATTTATAAAACACCAATTGACTGTATATAAATTGTGCGCTTTTTGAAGAAAATAGAATGTATCTGCAATAGAATGGATCATTCCATAGATTCACATGTTGTGTGTGTGTGTGTGTGTGTGTGTGTGAGTGAGGGAGAGTGAGAGTGTGTGTGTTTGTGTAGGAGAGGGAGAGTGTGTGTGAGGGAGAGAGAGAGAGTCTGTGTATATGCATGTGTTGTGTGCATGTGAGAGATTTGAGTGCTTGTGAGCATGCATGTGAGTGCTTGAGAGATTGTGTGTATGAGAGAGGATGTGTGTGTGTGTGTGTGTGTATGAGAGAGAGAGAGAGACTGTATAGTGTGGTGGAGTCACCTGTAGTGCGACATGAACCCAAGATCCTGGTTGAGGCCATCCTCATGGGTACTAAACTTGGCTGTCAGCCTCTGCTCGGCGACTCTGCATTGTTGTGTATCCCACTTGCTTGGCAATTGTTGTGCGGTGTCCATTCATCTGTTGTTGCAGCATCTGCATGGTCTCGCTAATATACTATACCTCAGGGCATCCTTACCTGCACATATGAGACAGACAACGTTGGCCGAGTCACATCAGTATTTGCTGTGTACGTGGTGGGTGGTGTTCCCATGTGTGATGGTAGTGTCCATGTCGAAGATTTGACATGTCTTTCAGAGGTTGCCATAACAGGATTGTATAGTGTTGTGGTCAATGTTGTCCTGAAGGCTGGGTAGTTTGCGGCAAACAATGGTCTGTTTAAGGTTTGGTGGTTATTTGAAGGCGAGAAGTGGAGGTGTGGGGAAGATCTTGGTGAGGTGCTCATCGTCATCAATAATATGTTGAAGGCTGCAAAGAACATGGTGTAGTTTCTCTGCTCCCGGGAAGTACTGGAAAATGAAAGGTATCCTATCGGACGTATCCCATGTCTGTCTTCTGAGGAGGTCATTATGGTTTTTCGCTGTAGCACGTCGGAACTGGTGATCAATGAGTTGAGCATCGTATCCTGTTCCTGTGAGGGGGTCTTTCAACACCTTCAGGTGTCTGTCTCATTCCTCCTCGTCTGAACAGATCCTGTGTATGCGTATGGCTTGTCTGTAGGGGATGGCTGTTTTCAGATGTTTAGGGTGGAAGCTAGAGAAATGCAGCATCATGAGGTTATCCATGGGCTTGTGGTAGAGTGATTTACTGAGGTGTTCGACCCTGATGGAGATGCGTGTGTCCAAGAATGAGACTGATTCTGAAGAGTAGTCCATGGTAAGTCTTATGGTGGGGTGAAACTTGTTGATATCGCTATATAATTGTTTCAGTGATTCCTCACCATGAGTCCAAAGGAAGAAAATGTCATCAATGTATCTGGTGTATAGCCTTGGTTGGAGATTCTGAGTAGCAAAGAAGTCTTGTTCAAACCTGTGTGTGAAAACACTCACCTTAAGGGCTATTGTATTCAGAGTGTATCTCCCAGTTTGAGTGTGGGTGACAGCCACAAATAATAGAATCATTGATTTGTTACTATGCAAAAGGAGGCTATTTGGCCCATCATGCCTGTACTTGTTCAATTACCTGGAGCCAGTCTCCTGCCCTTCCCCCATATTGATATACACCAATCCAACCAAAAATCATCCCATTCCAATTTAAATAGCTCATGATTGATGTCAGGTTTACATTGTTTTTTAAGGTCCAAGTTGAGTCTGATCAACACATCAGCCCCATTATAAAACAACAGCATTGAAAAAATGACAAGGTGAAACAAGCAGTAATTGCCCACATATAAACATTAATTCTGATTCTCTTTGGCTTCCTCCAACTGAAGTCTCCCTTTAGGCTTTACCATCATCGTCTGAATCATCCTTAGGTCAATGCCAGTTGGGGAGTATTCATTTCTAACTTCAGTGGGGAGTATTGGTGCCAAAGTGGAAATTCCATTCATGTTAATATCAGGCAGGACATTGGGTGGAACATCTTGCCTTTGCTCTATTTCAGCACTGACACTATCATTCACCATCGGACAGGATGCCAGAATTGTTGGGTGGCATCTTGCCGGTAATTTGAGTAAAAGAATTAATTTTCACTCTTTGAGTTTCCACTTTTGGGAAAAGGTGTTCCAGGGCTCACTTACAAGACACGTGTAAAAATCTTATCCTTGATTTTTTACAATCACTCATGGGACTTGGACATCGCTGGCTGGGTCAGCATTTATTGCCCATCCTTAGTTGTCCTTGAGAAGGTAGTAGTGACTTGCCTTCTTGAACCACTGCAGTCCATGTGCTGTAGGTAGAACCACAATGCCCTGAGGAAGCGACAGTGAAGGAATGGCGATATATTTCCAAGTCAGGGTGGGGAGTGGCTTGGAGGGGAACTTGAAGGTGGTGGTGTTCCCATGAATTTGCTGCCCTTGTCCTCCTAGATGGAAATGGTTGTGGGTTTAGAAGATGCTGTCTGAGGAACTTTGGTGAATTTCTGCAGTGCATCTTATAGATGGTACACACTGCTGCTACTGAGCGTCAGTGGTGGGGAAAGTGGATGTTTGTGGACATGGTCAATCAAACAAGCTGATCTGATGTCAAGCTTCTTCAGTGTTGTCCATCACAGTCCTGACTTGTGCCTTGTAGAAGGTGGACAGGCTTTGGGGAGTCAGGAGGTGAGTTACTCGTGCAGGAATCTGAGTCTTTGACCTGTTCTTGTAACCATTGTATTTACATGGCTGGTCCAATCAAGTCTTAGGTCAGTGGTAGCCTCAGAGATGTTGATAATGGGAGATTCAGCGATGGTAATGCCACTGAAAATCACAGAGCAATGGTTATATTCTCACCTGTTGGAGATGATCATTGCCTGTAACATGAATGTTTCTTGTAAATTGTCTGTTCAAGGATGGCTATTGTCAAGGTCTGGTTGCATTTGGACATGGACTTCTTCAATATCTGATGAGTTCCAAATAGTGATAATCCTCACTTCTGACCATATGATGGAGGGAAGGCCATTGATGAAGCAGCTGAAGATGGATCAGCCTAGGACGTTACCCTGAGGCACTCCCGCAGTGATCCCCTGTCCTGGAGCTGAGATCATTGTTCTCTAACAGCCACAACAATCTTCCTACATGTCAGGTATTTCTCCAAACAGCAGAGAGTTTTTTCTCTGATTCCTATTGATTTCAATTTTGCTCAGACTCCTTGATGTCATACTCAGTCAATCGCTGTATTGACATCAAGGGCTGTCACTCACACCTCATCTCTGGAACTCAACTCTGTTGTCCATGTTTGAACCAAGGCTGTAATGAGGTAAGGAGTTGAGTGGCCCTGGCAGAACCCAAACTGCGCGTCTCTGAGCAGGTTATTGCTGAGCAGGTGCTGCTTGATAGCACTGTTGACGACACCTTCCATCACTTTACTGGCCTGGTTGTATTTGTTCTGCTTTTTGTATACAGCACATATATCTTGGCAATTTTCTGCATTATATAGATGCCAATGCTGTAGCTGTACTGCAAGAGCTGGGCTAGGAGAGAGGCAAGTTCTGGAGCACAAGTCTTCAGTACTACTGCCAGAATGTTGTCAGGGTACATAATAGTATCTAATGTCTTTCGTCATTTTTTAATATCACGCAGAGTAAATCAAATTGGCTGATGATTGGTATCTGTTATGCTGAGACCACTGGAGGAAGCCGAGATAAATCATCCACTTGGCACTTTGGCTGAAGGCTGCTGCAAATGCTTCAGCCTTATCTTTTGCACTGATGTGCTGAGCTGTCCCATCATTGAGGATGGGATACTTGTGGAGCTTTCTCCACCAGTAAGTTGTTTAATTGTCCACCACCATTCACAACTGAGTGTGGCAGTACCTCAGGGCTTAGATCTAATCCATTGGTTGTAGAATCTGTTAGGTCTGTCTCTCACTCGCTGCTTATGCTGTTTGGCACACAAGTAGTCCTGTTTGGTAGCTTCACTAAGTTGACACCTCATTTTTAGGCATGTCTGGGACTGTTCCTGGCATGCCCTCCTGCACTCTCCAGTATTGATGGTAGCGATCGAGTGGGGAATATACCAGGTGATGAAATTGCAGATTGTACTGGAATACAATTCTGCACTTCTGATGGCCCACAGCACCTTGTAGGTGCCTAGTCTTGATTTGCTGGATCGGATAAAAATCTATCCCATTTAGCACGGTGATGGTGCCACACAACACGATGGAACATATCCATAATGTGAAGATGGGTTTTCATGTCTGTAAGGATTTCGGATTTCCCTCCTGAATAAGCATTAGTGAACCTGATGGATTTTTTGGGCAATTGACAGTGGTTTTGAGGTCATCATTATACTTTTGATTCCTGATTTCTGTTTCAAACATCAAGCTGTATCCCCTAAAGTCCGGTCCCCAGAACATTTCCTAGATCTTTGGGTTGTTAGTCCAGTGACAATACCACCTGTCCATCACCTGCCTCGAGGCGTCCCAACTTCCTTCATGTCACAATTGAAGGGAAAAGAGCAATCTAGCATCCATCAGTAGCTTTGAACAAAGACAGGTATCTAAGGGAAGGGACTGTCCACCCAAACTGTCTACACCTTCCTTGTTATATGTTTTTTGCAGAACAAATAGACTGGGAGTTTCAAGGAGCTTCTTTTCACTCAGATCCTAATTCAGTCACTTGTTGGACTTCCAACATAATACTTTGATTTTTTTCTTCTTTCAGATAGAGCTAAAGTGGTCAAGGGTCTACCTGATGTTGTTAACATCATGGAGAATAAGGTAAAGATTAGAAATATAAGCTCAGAACAATCAAAGTTTCATGCCGTGTTTTATAGTGTTTGTTGTAATCGCTATGCTTAATGCTTAGTGTTTCTTTAACGTTTGTTTAGTATTATTACATCTGTACAGTACAGTATCCATTGCCAATAAAAGTATGTCAGCTTTTGTAGTTATTGTCAAAAGCTGTCATTCTTTTGTATACATTGGGAGATGGGTTTCCAGGTAGCATGTAATGTTTCATATACAACATCTGCTCATGAGCAAACTAATGGCTCAATTTTCAGAACCATTAAAGTCTGACCCATTAATTATTGATTCAAACTGATTAATTTGATACTTAGCTGTTCACTTGTAGCTGGAATGCACGATGTTTATTGAATGCAGCAGCAGATTCAGGGAAGGTGAACTACCAACACATGTCCAACTAATTTCACCCCCAGTCCATGGGTCAGTGTTAATTTTCAGTGGAAATGTGCAGTGTGCCTGTAATGCTGTCTCATTTCATCCATGTGTCTAATATTGCCATCAATATAGATAACTGTACTCTTGGTGACATGTTTGTATTCAGTGAATCTATAAGATTAGTTTCTCTGATAATCTATTAATTTTGATAATTTGCTAATTACATGCACGGTGGCTCAGTGGTTAGCACTGCTGCCTCACAGCGCCAGGGACCCGGCTTCGATTCCACCCTCAGGCGACTGTCTGTGTGGAGTTTGCACGTACTCCCTGTCTTTGCTTGGGTTTCCTCCGGGTGCTCCAGTTTCCTCCCACAGTCCAAAGATGTGCAGGTTACGTGGATTGTCCATGGGAAATTGCCCGTAGTGTTCAGGGGTGTATTAGGGGATGGGTCTGGGTGAGATGCTCTGAGGATCGGTGTGGACTTGTTGGGCCGAAGGGCCTGTTTCCACACCGTAGGAATTCTATGAAAAGTAGCAGTCATATCCATGAGCAAACTTCAAGCTGCTTGTTGGCTCTGTCCCAGGAAAGGGATTGACAATCCCCACAGATCTTTGCCGTGAATGATTTTGCTATCGCCATCAGCCAAAGATTTTTTTCAACAATGTCTTGTTAAAAGCAACCAATTCAAACCTTCATTATCCCAATGGCAGCAGTAAAATTGCAGCTGGCCCAAGTTCTGAGGGGGTTGAGTCTTAAATTATTCTTTCACCTGCCAAATGCAGATATATCTAATATTCAGAAAAAAAGCGAGAATGAGTAGGATTTCCAAGAGTCTCACCTCAATCTCATTTATACAGAGGAGATAGCGAGCAACAGGTGGCCAGGTCCCCATTCCAATGAAATTTGGCAAAATAAAAATAAAATGTAATCCAGTCCCATTCCAATTATTTCTTTACCCACCAGGAGTGACTACAATGGAGGAATTTCTGTGTTAGTTTATATAAATTTCATTCTCCATCCCTGGATCACTGTGTCTATAATTTGACAGTCTCTTCTACACCAGTAAAAACCGAAAGAACTGCGGATGTTGTAAATCAGGAACAAAAACAAAGTTGCTGGAAAAGCTTAGCAGGTCTGGCAGCACCTGTAAAACCCAAAACATTAACTCTGTTTTTTCCCTTCACAGATGCTGCCAGACCTGCTGAGCTTTTCCAGCAACTTTGTTTTGCTTCCACACCAGTGATTGCTATCCACACTCTAATCTGTTGTATGCAATTTGCCTGTGGTTCAACACGGTATTTTCCACCTTAATGCAAATTGAGTACCTCTTAACAGGTCATGGTCATTTTCAGGGGTCAGATTATTTTGTACATTTAAGGCAAGCCGTCCAAAAAATAGCCATAGCAGAAGCCTCAGGGATGTTCCAAGTTCCATCACTAAAAGATATACATTTGTTTTTAAGTGCAACATAGGCAGGATAATGCTTCACAATCAATTATACAGGCTAAAACAAACTTTAATTATTTTAGTCATTCCACAAGCATCAAAGCTCTGTTTACCAGAGTCACTTGGGTGTTCCTGGCTCCTCTTATCAAATGATGTGAATGACGTTGAATCCTGGAATTCCCTCTCTAATAGCATTGTGGGTCAACCCACAGCAGGTGGACTGCAGCAGTTCTGTAAGGCAGCTCACCACCACCTTCTCAGGGCAACTAGGGATGGGCAATAAATGCTGGCCAGCCAGCAATGCCCACATCCCACAAATGAATAAACGAAAAAGAAATTAGTGTCTTTTATCTTATCAACAACACTTGGACAAAGGATTGTAAATCCCTTGTCAATTTTGAAGCATGAAGTAAATATGAACTGATTAAAAAATGTTGATGAAGAGAAAATTATTAAAATTAGACAACACAGATTGCATTAACAAAGGTCATGCTGAGAAGGAATGGATATGATAGATGAGTTGGATGCAGTGTACACAGACCTTCAGAAAGACTTTGACAAATTACCACGAGGGTGACTATTGGAGAAGATTAAGATGCATGGAAATAATAGAGTGGGGTGGGGAACAATGCATATTAACAAATAGTCATTTGGCATAATATGAATTGATTTCCACCATGTTGTGTTCTGAGCTCTTTTTGATCTCTAGTTAGGTCTGTGGTTTGAATATGGGCCTAGAGAAAGTGGTGTTCAAATGTGCAGGCATAGGAGGCATAAGAAATAACATTGAGGACCCAAGAGAGGTGCAATGGGCTATTAATGCCATGTTGGAATGCAGGTACGATAGGAAGGGTGTTTGAGGCAACAAAGGTTGGATGATGTTGACTCAGTGGGATGCTGCTACATGTTTTTTTTGGGGGCGTGTGTTTAGAATTGTGAAGGGATTCCATAGAGGACATAGAAACAGATGGTTTCCATTCATTGCAAGGATCAAAACCAAGACCATAAAAGCAAAAGATATTTAGAACAGAACAGGAATGGTGAGATGCACCACCAGAGTTCATATTTGAAACAAAGATTGTATCAACATTGTGGTTGTTTATGTAGACGGTCGTTGGAAAGGTAAATAATGTAGTGTGTGAACAAGGCAGGTAAATGCAATTAAGAATACTGGACATGTGGAAGGTTAATAGCAGCACTGACCCGGGAGGCCAAATGGTCTATTTCCATGTCTTGATTTCTATAAAACATGACAGAGGAAAGCAGGAGCCCCCAAAGACTATTTAATATATTCAGCGATTACTGTGGAGTTTACATATATGTGAAATCCTGCCTTAACAGCCCAAATTATTTAATGTAATAGCTGAAAGGGATAAAGAATTTGTGAGGAAAGAGGGACTGTGAGGGAGTCAAATAAACATAGAAAGGAATAATAGAGAGGTAGAACTAAAACAGTTTTTAAAAAGGAGAAAGCGAAACCTTATTACAACTATCAACAACCTTTCTCCCCTAGCACTCCAGCTACCACCTCCCCCCACCCCAACATTGTGTAAATGCTGCCCCCTCCACACTTCACTTCCGCTCTGATGAAATCATCTAGACTCGAAATGTTAGCTTGCTGTCTCTCAGTGGATGCTGTCTGACCTGCTGTGATCTCCAGCATTTATTGTTCTCAGTGCAACTGGGATTTATTTTGAGGGAAATCTCCACATTTCAGATTCTTTCACCTTCCAGTAGAATCCTTTAATCCTGATATCCTTCACAGATATTAGATACAGCAACAATGGTGGTGTGACAAAATCTTTAAAGAGAACATTGACTAGATTCATGCCAAAGTTTTTTTGCTGTGAAATATTATACAACTGCATTATGCTACAGCAACCAAAAAGTAAAGTTAAAATATTTTGTTCTCTTGAATAGGCTCTGTGCTTATCTTGTTCCATTTCTGGAGATCCCATTCCAGAGGTATTATGGATGAAAAATGATCGCACAATCCCTTCTGGTGAGCGCTATCAGGTCACTGTTGACAAGATGACTGTTAACTTCACCATCCAACAGGTCACTTCTGAAGACTCTGGGAAATACAACATGTTTGTAAAGAACAAATATGGTTCTGAAACAGCTACTGTAACAGTGGGTGTCTATAAACATGGGGAAGAGTGAATAATTTCTCAAAGAAAACTGTTTAGTTCAGGACTTAGAACAGTCCAGCATTGAAGATAAATGGCTCACTGGCAAAAACCTTTTTTTGTGTGAAATATTGAATACCAGAACATTATGTTTGTGGTGATATTAGTACTTTGGTTGAAAAAGTAACATGGAAAATTACAGCTAGGTATTGAGTGAGATAGGAATCATTTTGATGAAACAACGGAAATCCGTGTCTCTCTGAAGGTGACAGAAGGAGGCAACGTTTCAGAAAAGCTAGGAAATTGGAAGTAAAGACAAAGCCTGGGGAAGATGAATTTTGGAATAAAAGAAATTCGGCAAAATCAATGGAACTAAGTTCAAATGAAAATTGGATGCACTTTGGAAAAGAGTAGAAACTGAGAGATTTGATGAGAATGCAACAAATAGGGTTAGATGGGAGATGTGTCAAATAAGGATTTATGAATCTAAAGGTAATTTCTTGATGCAAATAATTTCTACCTTCTCCTTTTCCAAGCAATGGGAGTTAGATTTTCATCTTAACAATCTCAGCATTAAAAATTACTCGTTCATGAAACAGAAGAGAAAATCCGATGGAAAGGATCATATGCTCCTTAAGGACCTGCCCTGGATCCACAGCTGTTGCTGTGAAAGTGGTGATATTGGAGGGAAATAGGGTTAGTGTTAGGATTAAGATTAGCATACAGGTTAGGGTTAAAAGTAGGGTTGGGGTTAGGAGCAGCATAGAGCTATGTTGTTAATCTCAAGAACTAAAATCGGCCACAATCCTTGCTGTCAGTTTTAGCTCAGGAATCCTAAGTGGAAATGTTATGTGTAAGGACCTAGTAAGGAAATAATGACATTTGCTCATGTGTGCTGAATGCTTATCAATGCTTACTTTCTGAACTGTGTGATTAACTGCTTTTAATAAACCAATCATTTCCATGATACAAATTTATGGCATATGCAGGAAATTTGTCCTAATCAAATGTGCTACATGCATTCAAAAACTCTCAAATAATGGCATAGTGGATTGAGACAAATCTTTTTCTTTAGGTTCTTGATTAATATCCAACCGAGATTAATAGGATGAAAATACATTTTGTCTGCTGAATGTTTGAATCCTACAACAAATATGTTTGAATGCTCGTGATTCAATTAAAGTATAAAAGCAAATTACCACAGAAGCTGGAAATCAAATTTTTAAAAAACTGAAGGTGCTGTTTGGAAAAGCTCAGCAGGTCCGGCAGCTTCTGTAGAGAGAGAAACAGAACATTGCAAGTGCAATGAGACTTTTTCAAAGGAAAGTCCTTTTCTGCTTGATTCCCCGCAGATGTTGCTGGAATTGCTACAGCACTTTCTGTTTTTATTTGGGTTTTTGGTTTGCTTGGGTATGACTCCATGTTATCCATTTCCAGCTGACACTGATTTAGAGACTGGAACAAGTTTGCACTAATGTAGTGTGCAGTGTTCCATGGAGCTGGGGTTATGGTATGCCGTTAAGTTAGAATGGAGGAAAATGGTCTGCCACAAAGCCTGTGATATCCAATCTCAGAATGTCAAATACTGAAGGTGGGTGTCTGAAACAGAAATTGCTCCATTCTCCAAGATTAACATTTTTTCATCTTTCTGAGCACAACCCACATTAAATACGATGGAAATATTAGAACACTTCAAATTACAACCAATCTTATACATCCAGGACGTTGTGCATAAATGAGTGTTGAATAAAATGTATTTTCCTGCCTCAGAGGTTGAAGGTAGTGATAGTACTCCACTAGGAACAGATTTTAAACTGAAGAGCTTTACCTCAACAATTCTGGACAAGTATCCAACTATATCTCTAGAAACAGCCAAACGTTTGTGGGGCAAGTTAAGATATGGATGTTGTACAATTAGGGAGATAATCAAATAGTGGTTTTGCACCATAATTACAGCAGCTCGTACTTCTGTCACTGACTTCAGCTTATGAATGAGCATCGTACAATTAAATTAGAACAATTTAATTTATCATTATTCAAATATGATTGCTGATTTGTCGTGCATCACCGTAATAAAGTTGGAAATGATTTCTGTTCAGTCATTAATTATAGAGAATATTAATCAGTTTTAATAAGAACCTTTCTGTGGCATGTTTACAGAATGTTTTTGTGTTTATTTATGAAATGGATGACCAATGATCAAAAGATCGTTTACCAGAGATTTCCCCTCATTGACTAGTGTTGGAGGGGGCTGTGAGTAGGAGTCTCAAAGAAAGTGCTACCCCATTACTCCCTCAACCACATTGCTATGGGTCTGGAGTCAGACGTAGTTCAGACCAGATAAGGATGATGGATTTCCTTGACTAAAGGAACATCAGTGAACCAGATGAGTTCTTCTGACAATTGGCAATGGTTATCATTGGTCTCCTAATTCCAGACTTCTTTTTATTAAATTCAAATTCCACAAATTGCCATGGCAGCATTAAAACTAGGATCCCTTGAACAGTACCTGGATCTCTGGGTTAATCATCCAGTGACACTGCCACTAGGCCATCCCCTCCTCCAATAGATGTGAGCGATTGTGAGGGTGCTGGGGTTAATTGCAGGGGGAATTGGGGAACAGTGCTTTATTCCATGGGTGATCAAGAGAGAGGACATGCCCACTGAGCCCTATCAGGCCTGGGGGCAGCATTCCTCTCGACCCACCAGGAGATCCAATATATTGTGAAATCTATGTTGGCTTCTTCTGGCTAATCAGATTCCAAACAGTGCACAACTCTCCCTGACTGAGCATTTTGAGCTGAATCTTACCAGAAATCAGCTAAGTGTCGTGTCTTGATGAGCTTCATGCACTCTTTCCCTCTATGAGCCTTGGTGAGTTTTCCTGCACTCTCATCTCAAGCTCAATTTATTAGCTTTTTACCACCTCACTATTGCACCAGGTTCATCATCTTTATTCATTCACCACAGGCAGAAACACTGCCCATTGCCGGGATCTCCCGGGATTCCCGGCACCATCTTTAAACTTCAGCTGGGCACCCAATAAGGCATTGGCCATTCACAGCTGCCCCACACAGTTCCTGTCAATTGTCCCAGAGGTGTTGGGCACAGAAGAATTGGCACTCTGCCGATGGGCACCTGGGGTTCCTGGTGGACGGGGGCTGTGTGCGGTCACTGCCCACGGAGTGTGCCCTGAGATGTTGGTAATTGATGAAGGTCCAGAGGAGCAAGCAGTGAACTGGAATCACCAAGAATCTGCCCAGACTTTCATGTTGGGAATTGTCTTCATCAGGATTCTATCTGGGGGAGGGGGAGAGGAAACTGCATATTAATTACAGTATATTGGATTGTAATGAGATGTCAATGTATGTAAATAGTCCTCTCACGGCTCCCCAGTTAGACTGCAGTCAAGAAAGCACACCAATGCCTCTAGTTCCTCAGGAGGCTAAGGAAATTCGGCATGTCCACAAGGATCCTTAGTAATTTTTGTAGATGCACCATAGAAAGTATTCTATCTGGCTGCATCACAACTTGGTATGGCAAATGCTTTGCCCAAGACTGCAAGAAACTGCACAGAGTTGTGAACATAGCCCAGTCCATCCAGCAAACCAGCCTTCCTTTCACTGATAGTAGGAACTGCAGATGCTGGAGAATCTGAGATAACAAGGTGTAGAGCTGGATGAACACAGCAGGCCGAGCAGGAAACAGTTGGATAGACAAAGGAGTTGATAATGATCTTCCAACCTCTACCAGTGGGCAGAAGTTACAAAAATTTGAAGATACGCACCAACAGATTCAAGAACAACATCTTCCCCACTGTTATTAGATTTATGAATGGACCTCTCATACATTAGAGTTGATCTTTCCCTGCACCTTCTCTGTAGCTGTAACACTATATTCTGCATTCTGTTCTAGTACCCTGATGTACTTACGTAAGGTACAAATTGTCTGGATAGCAAGCAAAACAATACTTTTCACCATATCTTGATACACGTCACAATAATAAATCAGATCAAACCAATTGTTCCACACTTGTTTGGGAAATGAGACTTCTTGCTCTAGTTGTTGGTAAGCTCCTCAGTCACAATCTCACGCGATTGTCCCAACTTTCTCACCGATGCCTACAGTTTTCAGCGACTGGGAAAATTCTACCCAATGGAACAGCACCTTTAACCTAACCCTAACCCCATCGCATTCCACTCCCGTACATCTCAGTTGTCCTCATTTTTCAAGGACCGTAACTTCCCCCCCTCAGTGGTCGAGAACACCCTCAACCGTGTCTCCCACATCTCCCGCAACTCATCCCTCACACCCCGTCCACGCAATAAGAACCAAAAAAGAATCC